TTTCTTTTACGAAAATGTATAGCTGCTAATATTTTTCCCTTACAAAAGTGTATTGCTGATGATTTTTTTCCTTACAAAAACGTATTACAGTTAATATTTTTACTATGAAAATGTATTACTGGCACCGTCACTATGAAAAACGCATTTCTACACTTTCGAAATGTTTTGACCCCAGTTTGGGGGTAAACTATTTGCCCATAACAGATGCTACCACTCCGGGTCAAGGTGAACCTGGAAACAAAAGCAATTAACAGGTGGTTCCACACTCCGAAAAACCACCCGATCAGAAGCCTTGCTACCAGATGTAGTTTAACCAAGACGAAAATTACTGCTTTAAACATTAAGACTTTAGTGTATTTTAAAGCATTTCATTGAATAATTTGATTTCATATTGATATATAGTTTAATGTGTTATATTATTTTGTAATGAAATATGAAATAGTTCCAGGGTATTATCAGAAGGATTGAAGCTTAGAAGTGCGTATCGCAAAGTATACGGGTTAAAAGCTAATCGTTTTATAAAATAAAAAGAAATGTACTGTTGCAGTCAGGTTTGTAAATTCTTTCAATAATTGCAAGTGTCGGTTATCGTCACACAGTTATACTAGTTTTGCGTATATAGGATCCATCATTAAAATACTGGAAAAATAGTCAGTTCCATGAACCGCTCTAGTAAGTAACTGACACACATCGTGCTATCCTCTACATTTAAAAGAGCCTGATCAGGCTGAAAAATGGAGTACTTCTGCCATATATGAACAGGAGCTACACAGTCTTCACTGTCCAGCCTCGATAGAGTCCAAAAGCGTCCTTGTGTGTGATGGATTGTTTTCCACCCAACAACCTTTTTCCCTACAGACGAAACGTTGCAAGATTCTCGCTGTTCTATCGCTATTTCCATGGAAAATGTTCAGACGAACTACATTCCTTAGTTTCACCAGTTCTAACCTTCACGCCATACCACGTACATTGTAGTGAACCAGATTCATTCCCTTCTTATTCCATTCGGGAGATGTAACTTCCACTCGAGCAGTTTCTTCCCACAAACCAATGCCCTGTTGAACCGGCTCCCCAAAAGGTGCTTTCCGGATTACTAAATTTTTAACCTTTTCAAATCTAGGGTTAACCGTTATCTTCTCCGCATATTCTCAAAATCTTTTCCCCTTACATCTTACTCCGTATTCCTCTACTTTGAGTGGCTCTTGGGCTTTGAACAGGGTTAACATTATTGTAAAAAAACAAAAACAAAAAAAAAACAACAACAACAAAAAAAAAAACGTCTAAATTAACAACTGGTTAGGCGTGAGGCTAGCAACTCCAGCACATAAAACCCTGCTTGCTACAAAAACCAACGCCCAGTATGGTGAGGCTCTGGCCCTATACGCCACAGGAGTATACAGTACTTACATACAATATCTTTTTAAATCATTTCACCCCAAACAAGGTGATAATGTCACTTAGACGCAAGAGTTTACGGGAGGGGGATTGAAAGACGGACTTTAGGAGAATGAACAGGAAACCCAATCCTAAACAGTAAAAAAGGGATACACCTCTGCTCCTGGTCAAAAGACGGGAATGATCTATGAAACCGGGTGATAGGTGAACCTATCTATTCAGAGTTTAGGCGGAGTGTCAAATGAAGAGCTTATATGATTCAAGTGTATGTATTTAGGTAAGGACATTTAATTATGTAATTGCTGTTTTTGAATGATGTTTGTTATATTTATTATTTCAATCTATTTAAGAACCAAAACTTTATATCAAATTATTAAATAAAGAATAGAAAATTCAATTCTTCCATTCATTTTTTGTTGTACGGCACAAAAAGCGTATTATTTGATTTTAAGGATAAAATGTTTACTTTTTCAAAAATAAACTCAATAAATAACAAATACATTATTAAAAAAACAAACAAACCGAATAACTCATCTTATTATTTTGCGAACAAAACTTAAAAATAAATATTTAAGAAATAAAAAAACAGATTTGTTAGTTTTTTAAAAATAGACTACGAAAATATCAACAATGCTTACCTCCTAAATGATTAATTCCCCCTTGTTGTTGAGTTTTTTTTTTATTATTTAATATTGTTTTAATGTCTTGTAATATTAAATTTTACACTTTTATTTCGATCATTAAATTTTGTGCCTACAAAATATCTTTAAATATATATATATATATATATATATATATATATATATATATATATATATATATATATATATATATGCACACACACATATATATATGTGTGTGTATGCAGAAATATAGTTTTAAAGTGTGCTATATTTATGGGATAAAGTGCTGAATATCAGAGATAGAGCGTGTGTAAATATAAATATAAAAGTGAACATTGAAGTCAACACTCAAAAGCAACAGGTTGTTTCATGCTAGACGCAATCGTCAGGCCCTACACACACACACACAAACAAACAAAGTGCGATGGGTAAATTGTCGCCATTTTACATTTTTAATTTCGTTCATGCGCATTGATTTTTTTTGTCGACTTCACACTATAGCAGGATTTGTTGGGCAACATCTGTAAGAAAAAAGATCATCATGACGTAATTCACTCCGACAGACATTTGAAAACGGCATGCTGTACTGCTTGGCATTCGCGCCTGAATCTCCAATACGAACATTTCAGAGTGTTTAGGAGGTAGTGCTGCCTTGTATCAAGAGGGTGCCTACTTGAAGACCCTTTGTCTGGCATCAGGACTCTGCACCATGCCGGACAAGCAGGAGAACCCATTCACGACCGTCAGACAATTTCTGCGACCACATCACCTCTTACATTTGGCCACCTAACTCCCCACACTACAAACCGCTTGATTATTGTGCGCGGGGCGCAGTTGAGCGAGAAACAAACAAAACTCCTTGCAATACCAAAGATGAACTAAAGGCAAGGATTATAGTACTATTCAAGAACTTAAACAAGGAGAACGTCCAGAAACGTTACAAGAGATTCTGAAGTCATCTGGAGGCTGTGGTTGAAGCCAATGGCGATTTAATTGAATAAATTTACTCCTTAGCATTTTGAAGATATTTTTGTATAATTTTGGTTAATATGTATGTTAAAATGAGATGTCAGTATTATTTTCATTTTTACGCAGTTAGACGACCATTTATCCATCGCAACCAATATATATATATATATATATATATATATATATATATATATATATATATATATATATATATATATATATATATATACAATTCAAGAAAGGAATTCGGATTACCAACACACAAACAGAGAATGTCTCATATCGAGAATATTTAACATTGAACATAAGGAAAAAATTAATTATTTTTAATAATATGTGGAAATCTCCGCTTTTACCTGAAGACGGTCGCGTGACCAGAAACACGTGTCGTAAAATCATGTAAAACAAAGCATTATATATTTTTGTAAATAAATCCACATTACAACCAAAAACGTTTGCGGCACCTCTCTTCTCTTCTTTTTAATATACATACGTTTCTCTCGTTGGAACCACTACAACATATTTCTTTTTATATATATATATATATATATATATATATATATATATATATATATATATATATAAGCATCTAAACGACAATTCTCCCTTAAATCTAGCTCAAATGAAAAAAAACAATGTCATGGATTTTGTAATGACGCCTTGCTGTCTAATAGATATTGAATTTTATCAGTAAAGCCATTTGAAGATCAAAGTATTGGAAAATGTGAGAACGTAGCATAATCTGTGTTCAGAAAATGGTGTAGTGGTGTTGTATAATTATATAATAAGAGTAGGGTGACTCCAGCCTCTGTCATCAGAAAAGTTTTTTTTTTTTTTTAAGAACTACGCTGTAATTGGACTAAGACACCCACACACCTATGCAAACACAACCATATGTAGTGCTTTTCAATAATCTGTCCTGATTCTACACATATGAAACAGAGAAGCTGACGTTGTATCTACTCGTGACGCGTATCACGTAAGCAAGTATCATTTACACATGCTCTATACAAAGATTGAATACTCACACTCAAAAAGACATACATGGACACATATTAACGTATATGCATATACATGCAGACATACACACACACATATATATATATATACACAGATACATCATATATATATATATATATATATATATATATATATATATATATATATATATATATATACAATACAAAAAATATTATGTATATATATTACAAACGTTTAAAATATTATTAAAATAAATCCATTAATTTTTAAAAATATGTATATATATATATAAAATATAATATATATATATATATTTATATATATATATATATATATATGTGTGTGTGTGTGTGTGTGTGTACAGATAGAGAGAGAGATGAAGAAAACTTCAAAGGACTTATTTTTGCAACTGAGTTTATGTTTCACATATAAACCACGAAATTTAAATTTCTGACAAGACAAGTTCTTTGAAAATTTTTCCATTTGTTAACTATCGTTGTTTAGTTTTTCCTTTTTTTTAGTAATATTCTCCCAATACAAGGCCCAAGAGCCCCTCATGGTGGAGGGTGATTCAATGATGTTGTATGAGCGTAAGAGGAATAGGTAAGAACTGTACTTTATGATGTTAGGTAGGAGATATAACGACTTGAAGAATTTAACATTGTAGTTATCGGTTCCACAAAATAACTGTTCTTGGGATGAAGCTCTCTGGGTGGAACTTCTTGCTTACTAATGGAATACGAAAGGAATGACCATGATTCGTCCCAGTGTACGTGAAAGTTATTACCGGTGGAACTAAGGAATGTAGCCGGACAGAACATCTGATATAGAAATAATGATAAGGTAGTGAGAGGCTTGCAACGTTTCTTATCGTGCATTTCATTTATAAAAATCTGCTCGCCTTTAAATGCGTTAAATTCTAGTAATTTTACGTGTTTCGTCAGGCATTATCGATTTGTGTTATTATTATTATTAGATGGATCGATAGATATGAACGGACAGAAACCGAAAGATAGATAGACATAAACAGACTGAGATAGATAGATAGATAGATAGATAGATAGATAGATATGAACAGAATGAAATAGATAGACATGAACAGACTGAGACAGATTGAATATAATTATATATATATATATATATATATATAGATAGATAGATAGATAGATAGATAGATATGAACAGAATGAAATAGATAGATAGATAGATAGATAGATAGATAGATAGATAGATAGCCTTAAATAGATAGATAGATATGAATAGATAGATAGATAGATATGAGCAGAATGAAATAGATAGATAGATATGAACAGAATGAAATAGATAGACAGACAGATATGAACAGAATTAAATATATATATATATATATAATATATATATAGATAGATAGATAGATATAGACAGAATGAATAGAATGAAATAGATAGATAGAGATAGATAGATAGAGAACAGCCTTAAATAGATAGATAGATAGATAGATAGATAGATAGATAGATAGATAGATAGATAGATATACATACACCTCTACATGCATACACCTATAATTCTTCTTACATCGGTTTTTGGATACATCACATTGAAACACAGGTTCGCGTAAGGTCAGCGAAGTTAAGCAACGTCTAACTTGATCAGTATCTAGATGGATGACCGCTTGTGAATATTAGGCGCTGTAAACTTGGATGTGCCGGTGGTGTAATGGATAATGGCTCGGAATTGTTAATCGGAGCGCCGAGTTCCAATTCCATTTATATTCACTTATGCGCAATTTACCCTTGGGAAAGTTATGAATCCATTCGTTCTCCCCAGCCATGGATTAATTAATAAGACTTGTATCACTAAAACTATTATTATCTCCAAGAAAATGCGTTAAAAAATGTTTCGATTTCAGTATTAAATAACCCATAAAGGTTGATATACCGCTAAACAAAATCAACCAACCAACAATCTTCTTACGTATTTCAAAAGTTGCTTTTCTATATTCGGTTTACGGATTAACTGATTAGTTATTTTCGTACAAGAAAATGCTTAAATACTGATTAAATATTCCCTTTTCTGAAAATTTATTCTTTGGATTAAACCTAAGAGGAAAATTTTATTAACAATTTTAAGGATGATATTTTTGTAAGTGTCAAAAATATATATGTGCATTAAAAATCAATTGTATTTTTATCTCATTATTGGATTTCTTAATGTGACAATATTACTATAAAATTTATATTTATCGGCTACACCTGATGGAATAGAAATCCTTGTTTTTTAAACAGTGTAATTAACATTTACCGAACGAGAATAGATTTATTTTTTGCGGCTTATCAACCTTTTAAAGTTATTCAAAGCGGAAACATATTTTTGGATTGTAAGAAATTTTTGGAGATGCTTATAATTTCCCGATACGTTCTACTATTTAACCTATAGCTGGAAGGAGAAGAGGTGTATTCAAGCCTTTGGCAAGGATATTTGCACATAAGTGAATATAACGAACCTGACTGGAATTCGAACCCGGCTCCCCGGGTTCTCATTCCGAGCCGTTATCTATTACACTAACCGCACCGTACAGTACCTGGTATCCCAGAACGATTATCAATCTAGAGGCAACGTTGCTTAACTTTGATAATCGGACGAGAACCAATGTCTTATTGTGTCATGGCTGTAAGTCACCGACCGAGAAATCGAAAGTCATATTAAAGGAAAATATGCCTTTCAATAGGAACCAAAGCTCTAACCTGGAAAACTGCCAGGCGTAGTTTACCATTTAGCTACGGGAAGATATACATCAAAGCAAGGTTCAGTTACCCTGTTTAAGAAATGCAAATCTCTTGTTCAGACATTTCCAGTATAAAATTAGAAAATTTAGAGTTTAAAAGATCCCTTGGTTTGTGTGTTATGTTTTCTTGTAGCTAAATTTTAAAGCACGCCTGATATGAAGGTGGCTTCCACGTTCAAACGAATCTTGTTTCAATCCCTGTCGCAGGCACATTTTCTTTACTATGATTTTCGATCTATAGACCAGTAGATGTTAATTTCGCTGTTTAAAAAAGAAAACAGGGAGGTCTGCTCACACTGGTGTGCACAGTAAATATAACGTTTACGCGAATACAGATTGAGAATCCTTTATCCGAAATTCCCAAATCCGAAAACCTCCAAAATCCGAAAGTTTTTTCAGGTACTGCCATAACTTGCCACAAATTGAAATCTTCAGAAAACACTGGGAAAGTTCCTCGATGATGTGCAGCTGTAGTAAGTAGCCTCATCTGCACTATGTGGGTGTTCCCTAGTCCAGCTACATAGCTTACATCGGCGTCAGTATTTTATTAGCGATTGTCACAGCAACACCTTCGTTCGTGGATTACCTACCAAGTATTTTGTACTCAGTATCCAAAATATCAAAAAGTCCTGCATTTAGATATTTTTTGTAGAAGTGATCATGTTTTTTGTACAAGTACAGAAAGTACAAAACATTTTTATGTGAAATCTTAATTTCACACTTAAAAATCCATGTGAGCATTACATGACTAGTGTCATTAGCTGTATCTGTATGCACACAAAATTTATTAAATTTTATATAAAGCTACTTTCAGGGCATATGTTATTTATATGAAACTACATTTAGGGTATACATATAAGCTGTATTATGAAATGTAAAGGTCTCTAGTAAATATATAAACATGTGATACGACAGTGTATGAGTGCACCTCCAAATACCTATATGAGCAATGGCTGACAGCTGAATTCACCTCTGACATAGGTCTGGTGGCTCAATGGGAGAATAACAAACTTGTAATATTCAATGCCTCTAAAAACAAACTAGTAACGTTTCATCATCAACCCGAACTTTCACTTATGATGTTTTTTTAATCATTTCATCCCAAGCAAGGCAATAAAGCCACGAAGACACAAGGAGTTACTGAGTGTGAAAGGAAAAGAAAAATATTATTAAGGTATGAGAAGAATAAAAGAGGAAACAAGAAGATATAACGATTGACATTGCATTTACATTATTGAACACCAAAATTGGCTCCCAGAAAAAAAAAAAAAAAAAAAAAAAAAAAAAAAAAAAAAATTGCGATTACATCTAGCCAATAAAACTGTAAAAAGATGAAACCTTGTTGCCAATCTAGTACTAAGATTAAATTCATGAACTCGAGGTACCACAGAGAAAAGTCCACCAAAACAATTATCATGAAAGCATTTGTGGAAAAGGTATAGGGGGAAAACTACATTACAGCAGTGGGGAAATGACTGGAGCCGGTATGTCAGGTCAGGTCTAATAAAATTGCAAATTCTTTCTTAGATTTTATCAAGAATCTCTAAATATATAGCAGGAGCACCGGATCATATGTAGCAACAATATTCGAAACATGGACTAATGGTAGACTTATAAATATGTAAGATAAATTATGGAGACAAACATTGTCTGTCACGACACAGTGAACCAATTTTCCTAACAGCAAATTTAGTAATTGATTCAATAATCTTACCCTTCATGTTAGCAGTGAACGTTGGCTCGTGAAAGTGCAACAAATCACTCTCCTGGAGGTGAACATCAGCCATAATGGTGGAATACAGAAAGGGGTCTCTCAGTGGTTGTTCTATCTTGACTTGAACGCCTATTGGGACTCCAGTTCTTCCCAGACCTCAAATGGAACTCATATATATGATAGATCTCTAAAGATGCTGAAAAAAATGGCTTGTACCACTCCAGTAAGTGCCTGAATTTATCTGCTATGCTTTATCTTTACAAGAGCTAGATCAGATTAAAAATGGAGTACTGTTGGCATATCTGAACTGGGGCTGTCCAGTCCTCACTTTCCGATCTTGATAGAGTTCAAAATCGTTTTCACGGCCTTCTGCGTAATTAATTATTTTACACATTATTCCGCAGACGAAAGTTGTAAGCCTCTCGCTTCTCTATTGCTATTTCCATGAAAAATAATCTGACCAGCAACATTCATTGATTCCACAACCCCCGACCTTTACAACTAAGACCCGCCAAGTCACGTACATGAATCATCTCCATTTCCTTCTCAGTGCGTTATTAAGAAGGAATTTCCATTTGAACAGCTTCTTCCAAAGAACCGCTGCTTCTTGGAACAAACTCCAGAGAGGACGATTCCCAGATCATAAGAAACTTAATCTAGTTTTGAGTTAACCGATATCTTTTTTTACATATCCTCTTAAACTGCACTCCCTATGTCCTCCTCTTACTTGTAACAACCTCAATCAGCGACCCTCTACCGAGAGTGGCCCGTGATCTGTGTATTAATTAAAGCAATTAGTAAAAAAAAAAAAAAAGATTTGTGTCCCTTTAATTTTTATTTCTATAAAAGCTCCACGTTACTCACATATGTAATACATGGTATTCTCTGCATCCTTATGCAGAACCACATCTTCGTCACTTTAAGTCTTTTCTTTACATATGAAGAGATTGTTCAGCATTCACAACCGTACAGGAGATTAGATAAAAATTTTCTTTGTTTCTACGGACTTTTCATATGCCTTAATACTTGGCTCAGAAGACATCTCTATCTATAAAAGGCAGGATGTGTGTGTAACGAATGCACGGCCGCAATTTTCAACGGATTTGCACCAAAATTTACATGCACATGCTCCAAGTTAGCGGGAAGGCCAAGACCGACTTTGCATTTCCCAACTTCCATCGTAATGGAAATAATCGATCTTTTCATGCTTCTACGGCACTTTTCACGTAGTTTGCGGCCATTTTCTACTGGCCAGAGTGAGAGCCTATAACTGGTTGCCACGAATAGGCAGGAAGATTCTATTGGCCAGCGTGAGAGCCAACAGCTGACTGGCATGAATGTTAACTAGCATGCTAGCATGCAAAAAAAAAAAAATCGATAGCTGCATTCGTCACAAGTGGAAAAAATTTAAATCTGCATGGCACTTTACTCCAATTGGCTCATTCGCTTGCTTAAACTCAACGTTGATTCTGATTCCGCAGAACTGGGTTGGGTGTGAAAAAGTATTTGTTGTTAACATTTTTTTTCATTCCGTTTTTCCAGTTACGAGTCCTTTTTTAAAGCTGATCGTTTTGTGCTCATTTTGTTTAGTTCTTTTTTCGTAACAGATTTAATGTTTAGTATAAAGCTTAGAAAAAAATCGCAGTGTGAGATGGGCTATAAGTAAGGCATGTAGCAACATCAGTACGGCAAAGGGCACTTCTTTAATGGGAAGGAAGGGTAAAAATATTTTAAGTCAAGTGATAGCGATTGCTGTACGATTTTTGAATCAAGCACGGGCAACGCCGGGCCAAGCCTTTCGGTAAAGTTTAAATAATGTCAAAAACAAATCCAGAAATATTCATGCATTTTTTTTCAGTGTCAGAAAGGTGACATTTTCAAAGAAAAGTTATTTCCAAACCAGTTTTTAATATGAAAAGAAATGTAATAATTTAGTAAGCTTTTTCTAGTACGGCATACAGGCCTTATTGCACTTGTTGGGTGATCACGCATCATAGGTCAGAGAAGGATCCTCAAAGTGGTTACACGTATTTTTAAAATCATTTCACACCAAGCA